AATCAACAAATGCTGTCAATCGCTTCCCATCAGTGTCTGTATAGTCGTATTCAAAATGAGTCAAATTCTTGACTAATATTTCGTGATTTTCGGTCACAATTTGTGATAACACACTCTCACTCGAAGTAGTGGACAGTTGTGTGAGTTTTGTCAATGATTTTGCGTGAGATCTCAACACTTGATAACCTTCTGAAGGAACTGATATTGCGGTCAATTGTGGGCCATAGTTGCCCAGAATTGTGTCCATTATATCGAATGTTGAAAGTGGTATATCACTGTCATCGGGATCAATAAATTTGACACAAACCTCATTCAATGAGTGTTTGTATGCATTCATTAGTTTTTCAAAAACTCTTTCAATATCCTCTGAATCGGTGGTGATATGAATGGATCTAATGTTTGGACATTTTTTGATCACCGATTCCAATGCTATCCAATCGATGACTTCGATTATGTCTGCTACTTCATCAGGATCATCAAAGGAACATTTGGGTCTTGGGTCATTTGACCTACGGGACATTTGACCTACAAATATTTAAAATTGGACTTTTACCCTCATTCAACTCAGGAACAAAAAATAAACTTTTTCAAAAAAATTTCATAAAGTACGTCTCTAAATATCTACGTTATTTATGGATGAATTTATTTTTAAACGTTATTTTTGAATTCCTTATCTAACCTAACCCAACTTCAAAATGCTTACATCCATAAATAACGTGTTTGAATTTGTAGGTCAAATGTCCCGTAGGTAAAATGACCGAATACCGAACATTTGGCTTCCGTACGTATCCATATTGTATATGTATTGTCCAGACAGTTTAGACAGTTTAGACTGTTTTGTGATCTGAATACCAATCGCTGCCACTGTTTGGACAGACATTCAAATCGGAAACAGTCTTCGAGTGATAAATAAGACAATACGAGTCCACACAAGTCATCGCCATATCTATCAAACGAGTCTTTCGTATATTCCTTCGGAGTCTTATTCCTGTCATATTTCCACATAATTTACTTGAAATCCTGTTTATGAATATATTAATACTATTTATATGACATTTATCACAAATATTTACTGCAATTGTATATCTTTACTGTACAAATTATATTTTCATTTAACAAACCTGATCAATTAATAAATAGATTTAGGAAATAAATGTACTTGTATCATTGTAAACACATTTAATGAATTTTGTTTAACAAAATATGGAGGGTTTGTAATTGAGATAAATATATTGGTAATCAAAGTAGAGGTAAAATTATGTAAACATAAATGAAATACTGTAGTTATAAACACAATTATATAACTTTGCATGGTCAATAGTTTATGAGTTTATATGAGTGAATACAAAAATGTTATTGCTTATTGAGACATTTTAAGCTCTATTGGACACCGTATATAGCAGTGGTTCTCATTCTATAAATATAGTGACAACTAGCCTTGTAACAACTTTGCATTTTAAAGCATTTCATTCAACACTAGTTATTTTGTTAATCTCTAACACTTAAAGTTAAAAATCAAAATTATAAAATTATTTATTCATACAAATTATAAAAGAATCAAAACACACAATTAATTTGTTATAATATGAGTCTAAACCTGATTATTTTATTTTTTGTTTATTTTAAGTACTTATAATTAATAAATATTCATATATGAATTGTCAACCTATTAGTTTTGAAATAAAATATTATATTGATTAGTAAGGTGAGTAAGGTGATATTAATAAATAAAATAACTAGTGTTGAATCAAATGCTTTATAATTCAAAGTTGTTACAAGGCTAGTTGTCACTTAAGTAATAAACATGTAATATTTTCACTGAATATCATATAAATTGCAACAAGCACTTTGAATAACTTTAAAAAGTTTTCCTATCATACAAATGCAAATGGATTTCTTAATCGATGCTAATCTCGCACGAAGTGTGTATTCAGAGGAATGGTATCTAAAAAATTATTAAATTTCATATTTCATGTGTTTGTTTGAGTTGTTAAACACTATTTGCAATGATATTTGATATGAGAGACTATAACAGGAATTTCATCGTGAGATCAGTGATGATAAGCACTCATGAACTCAATGTCCGTAATGTTGAGTGTATTTCGGAGACAACTGTAGCTCTTATGCCAACAAATGATTAAAAGGTTTTCCGAGTTATAAATGCTTTCTAAGAAAACTCCCGTTTGTTGATAGAGATGCCAATAATTGTATGTTTGAGGCTTATTTTTAGACTTATCTAGGTACAGTATATCCGTTCATTAACCCATATTCAGATATTGGATTAAAAGTTCATTTCTTAATAAAATTTAACAAAATTTTTTTTGTATAATAAATACTTTTTTAATCAATTCATATACAAAACAGTAATTAATAAAAACTAAAAAAACATGAAATAAATTATTAACAAAAAAACGATCGGATGATAGCAAACAAAAAATCCTACAAAACTCCTAAATGTATGGTCAGTACCACCACTACTACAGTACCGAACAGCACCCGGAGCTCCGATGGGACTCCCGTTTCTGAACGGATGCCCTGACGGCCACATCGAAGACCTTTTTGACGCCAAACAAGTTCTTCGCCGAACACTCGAGATATGCGACGGCGTTGATAGTGTCCGCCATTTTCCAGCCCTCATCGGTGGTCACTGTCTTCTCGGAGATCAGATCCGACTTATTGCCCACCAATACGATGGGAACGGAGGGCAGGTATGTGTTAATCTCGGGCTCCCATTTGAGTTTAGTGTTGGCGAAGGAGATCCGCGAGTCGACACTGAAACAGATGAGCACCACATCTGTGTCCGGATAGCTCAGGGGTCGGATCCGCTCGTAGTCCTCCTGACCCGCGGTGTCCCATAGGGCCAGACATCCCTACGATTATAGGAAATGGGTTTAGTTTTACGGTTTATGGACTTAGTTTTGAGATAAGCTAGATCATAGATATTTTGTATATGGCTTAATAGTGTATATTAGTGTAATTAAATGAGTGTAATATGACTTTCATTTGATTAG